CGGAGAGAGAGAGGTAAAGACAGAGGGAGAGAGAGAGAGAGGGGAGAGCAGAGAAAGAGAGAGAGAGAGAGAGTAAGAGCAAACAGCAGAGAAAGACAGAGAGAGAGAGAGAGAACAACCCCGCTTGGCACTGCCTGAATAACGAGGACTGCAGCATGCCCGCCTTTAGCATCCGTGGCCGAGAGAAAAGCGCCTAACCAAAACCCCTGGAGCAACCCGCTTGGAACCCAGCCCATCCACTTCAGACTCCACCTGGCCACGCGCGTCAGATACATGGACATACGTTCTACTCAGCACGACCATGCTCAGAATCGGCCCCTAGCCATCCTGTCGAATGGCATGCGCTGTGTCCAACTGTGGCGACGAGGCCTTCTCTCCAAAGACGCATCCGCCTCTTCGAACGCACTTCATCGCAATGGCGACGGGACAGTAGCAGCCAGCTGCATAGAGGGAACCGGCCGCCGCCAGCGCCGGGGCCTGTCCGATGCGCTCGGCGAACCGGCCCAAGGTCTGCCCCCCCGTCCCAATTCGGGAATGAGCACTGGGTTCCTGCTGCAAGCCTGGCTGCCTCCTTGTTCTCACTTGCTCCCCCCGCCTGGCCCTCCCTGCCCGATCTCCCTCCCCTCCCTCCACAACTCCTTTCCCTTCCCCCTCCTCCCTTCTCCTTCTGTGTTTATCAGATTATACTATCCCTCTTTATTTATTTCTCTCTCTCTCTCTCTTTCTCTCCATCTCTCTCTCTCTGTCTCTCTCTCTCTCTCTCTCGCTCTCCCTCGTTCTCTCTCTCTCTCTCTCTCTGCAGCCTTGGCTCGACGGCACTTCTGCTCGGGACGAAGCCGCGACACGTAGCCTTCCGCGCCTCCCAGCCCAGTGAGACTGTAATCGTATCAACCATACGGGACCGACACGTGCCACATTTCCTTCTCTCCGCGCGCGCGCGCCATGGCTCAGGTTCCAGAAGCACCGAGGCGAAGAGCCGGGCTCGGCCCCGCAGGAGCTTCCCGGGCCCAAGGCCGCAACCGAAGCCTCCTCTCGCCCCCCTGGAGCGTCGGGGGCCCGACAGCGGCCGCGGCCAGGGACGAGAGCGCGCCCGCGCGACTGCCAGAGCCCGTCACCGCAGGACTGCCACCGCTGCAGGATGGGGCTGCTTGGCCGACGAGGTCGGTCGCACCCACGAAAGGGGCTGGTGGAAGGAGGCGCCGTGTCGGCCCAGGAGCTCATGCACTCCGTCTATCTCACTCCGTCGACGATCACAGATTCTACATCATGCCATGCATGGCGCCGCTGTTTGGGGCCCGTGCCAATGGCAGTATTCAATCACTGTGAAACTCAAATTGGTTCACAAAGGGCCCATTATCATACTGCATCGTCGTCTCACTAGACACCATCTCGGCAGAAGTGCCAGCATAGCGTCTGCATAAACGTCATATTCAGCATCGAGCTGGTCACTGTCGTCACCACCAAACAAAATCACCGCTACCAATATCACAATCGACACATCACTCTAACAAGCCCCACGCTGTCCTCTGATTCTGCGGGTGCCCGGAGCATCAGCTGGAAGGCTGTGGAGAGGAGGCCGAGATACCACCTGCTCGTGGCGGAATGGATTCAGATGGGCATAATGATGCAAAGCACTGAGGATGAACCGAACGCACAACAGGACAGCGCTACTTGTCAATCCTGTCGTGAACGAAGACGCGGTGGACCCAGAGAGAGCCAGAGATAGAAAGAGAGAGACCCAGCGTACTGCAAGCTAGACGTGGCAGCGTGAGCAGCGAGAGAGGGAGCGCGCGAGAAAGAGGGAGACATATCCATGCCAAGAAAGGATCGCACGGCCGATACCTTCCAAAACGGTTGTTGCCAAAAGGCGATGCGCTGGGCATTTAGGTGGCACCCTCTGACAGGGCATAGAGACTTAGAAAAAGGGGGAGCAACAGAAGTACCTCAGAAGTCGGGCACAAGCCAGGAGTGAGCTTCCTATGACGTCGCCACCCTTCAGCACCTGTGTCAAGCACGGCAGGTCTGGGAAATGCGGCAGGGAGAACAGGGAGGGGAAGGAGGAGCTGAATAAAAACCTAGATGGTATCAACGTGGATGAGAGTGAAGAGGCTTAGTAGCGCGAAGGCGGGAGGATAAGAGAGAACCCACACAAGTGAAATGCACGCTTGCACTTGCACTGAGCGTGATGCGCTTACAACTGATAATCCAAAACATTTGCTGACAGTCTTGTCGCGCCAGCAGGCCAAGACAAACCACTACGCACGCGTAACATCCGCAACGTGTGAACACATTGCCGATGTAAGTAAGCTCGATATCTCTCGGCGCAATACCAATGATGGTATTTCCAATAGGCCATGGCCCACGTATCGAAAATTCAAACGACAACTCATGATTGACAATGAAGGCGATACTTGTCCAACCATGTGTTCAGGGTGCCGGGTGCGGCAACCTAGCAGCCACATTGGACTGGCGGAGAATCCTGACTTCATGCTTCTGGGTT